TATCAGCAGGAAAACGCACCCAACTCCCCCAACAGTTGAAAGTTTGCGGTGGTCGAAATGTTATGCGCCGCCGTGGCCATAGCCATAGGAATGGCGGAATGGCAGGTGTGTTTGCCTATCTGCGACAACACGCGATAAGAGGCGAGGATGGCGAGCCCGTCTGGGTCGCGACTGGCACGGCCGGGGGCACGCCCAGATCGGCGGCCACGAAAGGCGGTCCCTGCGGCCACGGCCGCGGCCACGGCGGCGTCCTCGCCGTACTCACCCACGAGGTGGCCCTCCTGCAGGTGCGCCAGCCCGGCGAGCACGTCCGCGGTGAGCAGCGGCGAGATGCCCCTGAGCTGCATGGCGACGGTGTCGTCGGCGCGCGCCTCCGACGGCGTCCTGGTGGCGCCTGGCGCGCGGACCGCCGCCGCCGCCGCGGAAGATAGGACCCCGCCGCCCCATCTTGGTCGTCGATAAGGAGGCGCTGATAAAGGCAGATAAGCGGGCTGCATGTAAAACACACCAACAGCCGGACCGACCCATATTAGCCGTGTCTCCGCTCCCAGCGGCTGGCGGTGGCGGCTTGCTGGGCGCGCGCGGCCGCTCGGCTCCACCTGCCCAGCTGGTCCAGCTGGTCCAGCTTGCCCAGCACGTGTGCGCAGGTGCGGACGGCACCGCGAGCCCCGCGGAGATGGGCAGAGACTAGTTCAAGGACGCCAGCAGGCAGCGCGGACCGCAGAAGCGGCCAACCGTGTGGCGGGGCCCCGGCCAAGGCCCCCGCCCCCGGGCCGCGGGGTGGCCGGTGGTCGGGTTGGCGAGGGGTGGCGGCAGACAGCCTGGCGACCGACGGCGACCTCGCCAGGGCCGTGCCTGGCTGTGGGCACACTGTAGGCCTGGCTGGGCCGAGCGACCGATCAAAGCACCGTGTTTTGCGGCCGGAATCCGGTAGGGTCCGGCCGGGGTGGTGCGTGCGCGTGTTTTGAACCGATCGGAAAGTTCCGGGGGCATTTTCATAACGGTTAATCCTAAGCCTTACACAACGAGCTTACCAATCCCCGCCGGTGTTTTGCTTCTGCTCGTCCCTCCAAGGCTCCTTGACCCAGGGCGGAAGGGTTGCCTACCCCGCGGCGGCTCCCACGCCGGGGTGAAATTACTCCGCGCCCGGGGCGGCGCTATTCCGGGACTCCGGGGCGCTATTTCTCTGTTTGGCTATTTCGGCTTCGGCGCGGCCCGCGCCCCGCGGCTCGACCTAATCCTTGCCTTCCGGCCTCCAGCCGCGTCGCCGTGAATGGCCGCTGCTTGAATGGGGCTATTCGCGGTCGCGCAATTTATCATACTCGATTTGACGTCAGGCGGGGGTTCCGTTTTAATCGGCGACATCGAGTAGACGCGGCCACGCCGCCACGCGGCCCGGCCGGCCGGCCGACTCGCGCGAAGCGGAGCACGCCGATAGTGTAGGGGCGGCTGGCTGCCGCGGGCTGCCGACCCCTGGGGCTCTGCGGCTCTGGGGCAGCCCATCTGCGGCGGCGCGGCCTAGAGGGCTAGAGTGCACGGCCACGGCCCGGACCACCACGTCGATGTGGTTCGAGGGGAGCAGGAAGGCCTTTAAATTTGGCTTAGCGGCAAATTTGCCGTCTTCACACCGCACGTGCGCGGCCCGCGGCCAGTGTGGCGGCCGATGCGTATCGCCTCGGCGCAGCTGCGCGCGGCTGGCCGCCCGGTCCCGCAAACAGCACCGACTTTTATCGGTGCCCCGCTCATTTTTCGAGCAAACTGCGCGGGTCCGCTGGAGGAGGAGGAGGAGGAAGATGCTGCCGTGTTTGCGCGAGAGCCGCCAAAATTCGGCCGCAACCGCGGACCGCGCCGACGACCACGCGCACCCGGGAGATGGTGGTCGCCGCCGTCACGGCGGTCGCGTGGCAACACAGAGCCTGCCCGCCACTGCCCGCCACTGCCCGACGCAAGCACAATAAAAGATTAAGTGTTGATGGGCAGCTGGGCGCGCCACAAAAACGTTACTTAATATTTCAATTTTGCCGCCGCAACGGGGCCGTGTGGGTAGGGTGGGTAGGCCCTGGCTGGCCGTGGCATGCCCTGGCACCAACAATCAGTCGGGTGGTAACAATGATCGCTCGCGCCCCGGTCGGCCTGTCCGCCTGACATGCCGTCACGGTCCTGGACCGCCCCTGCCGCCGCCGACATGACCGCCCCCACGCCCCCGACGCCGCCGCCAGCGCCGCCCCCAGCAGACCCCGCGGAAGCGTCGCCTCACCGGCCCGCAAAACAGGTCAGCCAAACGGCGGCACTTTTCAGCGCGCGGATTTCCATCGCGGAGGCTTCCTTCTGTTATTGTTTACGTTTGTGTTGTTGCTGCGGAAGTTTCCCGCCTGATCCGAAAAGTTAGTCATTGCGCCGGGGCGAGTCCGCAGCCCCGGACGCCCCGGAGGCCGCGCGCCGGGGAACCCGGGGAACCCACGACCGCCGCGCGCCGCCCAGGGCCGCCACCTTTGCGCGACCAATAACCCGTCCCCGGAGAAAGGGAAAGGGGGCGGGGTGAGGCGGGGCGGTGCGGCGCAGGCTTTCTCATGAGTCACTCACCGCGCGGGGTGCAGCCCGCCCACACCCACCCCCGAGCCGGCCGCCCCCGCCGCCCCCGCCGCCCCCCGCCACGCAGCATGCCAGCCGAATCAAGTTGTTGGGCCGCAGTCATTCGGATTTGGCAGACAGGCTTGGCTTTGTCATTGCCCTGCTTGGCTTGCTCGGCTTGCTTGGCAGCCACCCTGCCGCCCCCGTCTGGACTGTAGTCTGGACGCCCACGCCGCTCACCCACAACCCCCGCCACCCCCGCAACCCCGGCGTGGCTTGGGCTGCGTGCACCCAATGGCCCGCCATCGCCCGCCATTCATCCTCCTGTGACCGCGGCAGGCCCGGGCAGGCGCATGATTTCTCGCGCAGTCCCGCGCAGTCCAAACAAAAAATGTTTCAGGACCAAAACTTCATCACATGAGCACATAAGCAGCAGTGCACGAGCATTTACATGAGCAAAGTCGAGGCAAAGCCATCATAAGAGTACTTTTGGACTGCACTTCTTGCCGTGGCGCCCCTTCCCTTTCAGTGTCGAGCCTCCGCGAGTCTGGCCCGAATAATCAAAGCCTCTGCGTGCCCAGCGGACTGATTCCGAGGGTCGCGTTCGTCGCTCTGTCTCTCTCGCACCATCGCGGGACGCCCCGCGAGAGAGACAGAGTGACTCTCGGAATCAGTCCGCAGGCTTGTCACCGTCTGGCCGTGTGACGCCCGTCGCGTTCGGGACTTGGGGAACGGAACCAGGCGTTCTGAGAAAACTACGCTCGCAGCCTCGCGGCCTAGTCGCGCGCCTTACCGGCCTGGTGTAGCAATGCACGTTACGCGGCCGGGTGGGCGAGCCGCGGCAGCGAGTATGAATGGGCGCGCGCGCACACACACACACACACACACACACACACACGGCAGCGCTGGGCCTCACACGGACACACACGGACGCACGCACACGCCGGCACGGCCGCGCGCCGCGAGGTTACGCTCGCAGCATGAATGAAACCCCCACCACCGCGCTGCTCTGGCGCCTAGGCCGACGGGCAGCCTGGCGTAGCCTGGCGTAGCCTGGCGTAGCCTGGCGCGGCTGCCATTGGTCGAGGCGTCGACCCCCGCCACGCCCCGCCCCGCCCCACCCCGCCTCGCCCCTCCACTCCCCGCGCGGCCCGGGGAAGCCCTGCCGAGTCACTCGCCACCTCCTCCCCCTCCTCCTCCTCCACCCCTCCCTCCACCCCCACGAAGGGCCCGGGGCCCGGGGGAGGCGGTGTGGAAGGAGGGCACCACCGGTGCGAGAGAGACCGACGAAGGCCGCAAAGTCGAACCGCGGGAAATTCCGTCTAGAGAATCGGTACGAAGGGCGCACAGCGAATTGCGTGCATCACACAGACAGACAAGACAGGCAGGGAGAACAGGCAGCCAGAGAATGCAGCCGCTCAAGACCTTATCCTGAAAGCACCTTCTTCCGAGACATTTCTTTTGCGGGTCGGCTTGATGGACCTGCGGCTGCTTGGCAGCACACTGGTAAGACTGGTGCGCAGATGCTCCTGGACCTACTCCACCACGCGTGTCTGTCCGTCTGCCTGCCATGTGAGCGTCTGCGCGCAGGCCGCGGGGCCGCGCCTCATCAGCTGATTGGCTACGCGGCCACGCGGCCGGCCTCAGAGACCGGCATGGGTCGGCGTGGGCGGCCAGCGCAGCTACGCCGTTGTTGACCCTCGCCGCTCGCGCTGCTCGCGCTGCTCTCGTTGCTCGTTGCTCGTTCCGCGGGCCGACGCCGACGCCGACGTCACCGACCCGGACGCGCGGCAGGACATGACGCCCTGCGTTGCGCTGCGCGTCAGGGCCTAGCCCGGGCCTAGCCCGGCCTGCCGCAAATTCCATGAATGTAAGGCAAGGGACTCGCCGGGGGCGAGGGGGGCGGGCAGGGCGGCGGCCTGGGCCCCCCCGCGACGCCTGGGACCCCGGGACGCGCGAGGCGAGGGGGAGGGGGGCGTCGGTGGGCGTCGACGGTGCGCCGTCCTTGTGGTGGGGGAGTGCGGCGCGGCTCAGCCTGGCTGACTCAACTCGCCGTCATATATACTTCTCCTGCCGAGCCGGCCGGCTTCAGAGTCACGCCAAACGCCGCGGGCACCGCCACGCCAGAGCCACGCCAGAGCCGCGCCACGCACGCCGCGCCGTGGCCTAGTCAAAACCGCGGACCACTACGTCCAGCTACGTCCAGCCCGCGCAGCGCGCAGCCCCACGCGTGCTTGCCGACCGCAGTGGTGGCGGTGACGTGCTGTCCAGGGTGCCGTCGTCGCACCGCAGCGCACCGTGCCGGCTCGCCCGGCCCTGCCTCCCCGCCGGTCGCCCCGCCGGCCCGCTCCGCCCGCCCCGCCCCGCCCGGCCCGGCCGTCCCCCCCGTCCAGGCGCAGGCCGATACCGGCCGGAGCTGCTGGCCAGGCAGTTGTCGCCTGGCCCTCGACCGAGGAGCACCCCTACCTGAGTCAGTCCGCTGCTCGCTGCCTCCGAGCAAGTCGCGCCGACCTGGAGTACCGTGGATTAGTACAGTGTGACAGTGCAGTGCAGCGCAGTGTATGTGTGGCCATGGAGCAGAGCGAACGGCCTGTGTGTCTGGAGGACGCTGTGGACCTTCACCAAGTGCTTCACCGTGACCAGAGAACAGTCAGAGTGAGGGTGGCCGTCGACGCCCCGCGGACCGCGACGCCCCGCCGTCTGCGCCGCGTGGCCCGACCCCCCTCGGAGTGCGAACAGTGTCAGCTCGCGCAGCTAGCGCGCCGCGGAGTGCAACCCGTCTGTGATCTTAGTGTTCCTCAATTCCGGATATGCCACCGACACACATCGTCGTCCTTAAGATCAAGATCGTCCTCATCCTGGTTCCCCGTCGGCTCCGTCATAAGATGTAAGCATCCTTTAAGCGTTGTCATGCCAACCTCTGGGTTGACACTGGGTTGGCACTGCTGTCAGTGCGCGCGTGCTCGCGTGGACACCTGTCTTTGACACCTTCCTTTGACACCTTCTCCTCCTCTGTTGCGTAAACGAATGGGGCCTAACCCGACCGCGAGACATCCGGCCGCCACCGCAGCGCTAGCAGTGGAAGCGCGGCCCGGCCCAGCGATACACCTCTATTAATACGCTTCTTAGAACCGCTGCAAATGTCGCCGGCGTTTGTCGACCGCGTTCAACTAGTGCCCCGTGTTCATGACGGGGGCTTACTTGCGCTGGCCCCGCCCTACCGACCTCCTGCGTTCGCGACGCCGCGACAGAAGAGACTGAGCCTGCATGGCATTATGCTCGCAGCATCGCGGGCCCCGGGGCCGACCCTCGGCCGGCGCAACCAGCCCCGGGGAAGCCCGCCAGGTGTTTGCGCGCCGGCCCAGCGTAAGCCCTTGCAAACGCCAAAACACGGCGTTGTTGTCGTCGTCCAGGTACGCGCGGCCCTGGGCCCTGGGCCCCCACTGCAGGGAAACCGCAGGGAAACACCCCGCGTGCGCTGTGCGCGGAGTGGAGCGGCCGAGGGCAGCGCCGCGCCGCGCCGCCCCTGGAGGCCGTTATCGCCTTACTTCCGCCGGCCCCGTGTGTGACGGTGTGTGTGACGGTGACGCGCGACGCGCAGGCAGAGCTGCCGGCCACCATTTCCGTGGCCGTGCAGCCGTGCACGCGTCTGCCCAAGTTTTCGAGACGCGTCCCGCCGCGCCGCCGGCCGCCCCGACGACCCCCGCGTGCTCCCCGCCGAGGCCCCCGCCGGTCTACCGGATCGAGATAGAATCAGTTTCCCAGGAACGAGCGCGCGCGGCCGGCTCGCCCCGCCCCGCCCCGCCCCGCCACGCCCCGGCCCCTGCAGGAAGCCATGGATTTTGATAGTCGCCCTATGGCGACGTGATGAGTGCACAGATCGCGCCTAGCGCTGCCGTGGTGCGGCCCGAGTCACTTTTCGTCCTCGGCGGGGGTGCCGTGCAGCTGGCCACCGCGACGAGGCTGCCGCCGTGCTCCCGGAAGGAGGTCGCCGTTTTGGCGGGCCGGTTTGGCGCGGGCCGTCGCGTGGCGGGGGTGGCGGGGGCGGTCCCGCTCTCGGACAGCCCTAGGCTCTCCTTCGTCTCCATTCAGTTCGCGTGGCGCTCGCTGCCTCCAGGGCCGCCTCCACGGCCGCCTCGCTGCGGGGCGGCGAGATAATTTATACGAGGGACAAGTCGGGACAGGTGCATGCGCTATGCTGCGCTATGCGCTCACGTGCCACATCCGCCCTAGAGCGTCCCCCGGGCGGACCATCTCGAGTAGGGTCAGTGTTATAGGGATTCAGGAAAAAGAGAGGACGCTTCCGAGCGGACGCGAACCCGGGCCAGATGACGCGGAGACAGAGAAACGCGGCCGCCGCGGCCAGGGTGCCCGTCAAGGTACCGTACCGCACTGGGCAGTGGCGTATTCTGTTCTGCCGCTCGTTTCAGTCGATTTGCCATTTGTTTTTGATCCCCGCGCGCGTGTGTGAGTGTGTGGATGTTTCCATCCAAGGCGGGCGGCGCTGTGCTTTAGAACTGTCCTGGGCGCGTCCTCGAGACGGCCAGACACTGCCAGGCGCTGCCAGACGGCGCACGGATTCCTTTCTGGCGGCAGCATTGTGCGCGAGAACGCGATCAAAAGCTGCCTGCGAATAGTTGGCGGATGCATCCTTTGGCTGCCAATAGGCAATAGGTGTGGATCTGCGGCGCGGCCGCGCGGCACGTGAACCTTTTGTGTGCGCTGCGCTGCGCGCCCCGAGTCCCGGAGTCTATCGGCGCGCCACTCGGGGGTGAGGCGCAGCCAGGCCAGGCGAGGGTCACCCCGCCAAGAGAATAAAAATGTGTCAAACTGAATTGGGGTGAATGGGTCGCAGAGGAGGCTGGCTGGGCTGCTGCAGGCCCTCGCTGACCATCCGTCCTGCCTCCGCCTCCTCCTCCTCGCCGTGGTTAGTCACTTTCGTTCGCACTGCGCGACGCGCTTTCCACGGAAAAGCCGGGAGGGCATAATTGCTTGGCGGGGAAACGGGGGTCCCTGGCGTGGTGCGTGGTGGCCCACTGGTGGCGCGGCGGGGCGGGGTTTCCCCGCGCAAACAGGTGGCCGCTGTCTCTCTCGCTCCCCTCCGGCCAGGCCCGGGAGTGCGAGAGAGACGGAGCACCGCCGGGGACCTGAACGCACGAACGACCCACCGCCGGACCGCCGGGCTGACCTGCAGCTGTCCTGCAGTGTCGCTGCGCTTCCCGGACCCGTATCTCGCTTATCGCGAAAGCACGGCCGTACGCTGAAAAAAAAGTAAGAAAAAGAGGAGCCACTCAGTGTCATTTTGGCGTCCGGACTTTTCCAACTGACGAAACAATCGGCCAGGTAATGAATGCGCGCATTCAGAGCCGCCGCCGAAGTCGCCGAACGCGCGCCGATATTTCGAAAAGCGCGATGAGCGCCGCGACACCGATTTCGAAAAAAAAAAGGAGAGCAGAGCATTCCGACACAAAAGTGTCAATTATAGAGATCGCCCTGTAACAATCGGCGCAAACAAGGGTCGCCCATTTGTTGGCGTAGGTCAGGCCGCGTCGGGCCGGCTTGGGGCAGGGTAGTGCGGGCCGGGGTGCCGGCGCGGCGGCGCGGCCATCACAATGAGCACCTAATAGAAACACACGTGGCGGCGGGGCGGCGCGACTCGCACGGAGGTGACAATTTATGGGAGGTCCTCGCCGTCCCCGCCGGCCGGGGGGAAAGGAGGGGGGGGGGGGTGACGGCGGCGCTTCCAGTGCGCTTCCAGTCAATCTAGTGTAAGTAGTGCTCGGGGGGAATGCGTGGCGCGGACCGGCACGGCACTGGCACGGCACTGGCACGGCCCGCGCGGTATGGCTGCCGTAAGGGGCATTGCGGGACAATTAACGCGATAATTGGCATCAGTCATTACCGAGTGTGTGTGTGTGTGTGCGTGTGCCGCAGCCTAATTGCGCGGCGTTTGAATGAAGACGGCGCTAATCTTTTTGCCGTGATGATGTTGATGGCCTCCTTGGGCTCGGACTGGCCGTGCTCGGAGTGGGGGCCGCCGCGGCCACGCCCCCCGCTCCACCATGTTGGCCGCCACCACCACCGTAGCACCACCGCCAGCGCCGCGGCGGCGTGCGTGTGTGCGTGCGTGTGTGTGTGCGTGTGTGCGTGCGTGTGTGCGTGCGGGGGCCGATCGCGGTGGATTCCTCCCTCCAGCGGGTCGTCCAGGCCGCGGCCGTCGCCGTCCTGGCCGCGCTGCGTGTGGCCCGGCGACGCCGCAGCAGCCGCAGCCCCGCCACTGTAATTGCCAACGTGTCTGACCGTCTTCTTGTCCTCCCGCAGGGCTCCTCGCCGCGCTGTGCGTCCTGGCCCTGCTGCCGCCGCGCGCCATGGCCGCCCCCACGCCCACCCGGTCGCAGCCCAAGTGGATCAACCCGTGCGGCCTCAACAAGCAGGACGTGGAGCAGGAGCTGGAGTACCAGAACGAGTCCGCCGCCAGCGTCACCGACCTGCTGCAGCGCATCGTCACCCTGTCCAAGAACGCGCTGGACCACGCCGTGCAGTTCAGAGTAGCCTATGTAAGTATCTCGGTTAGCCTCATCGCCTCCGGACACACACGAGGACACTCGCATGCGACTCGCAGACACGCGGACATTCCGCGCATAAAAATGGAGAGGCCGCATTCCCTCGCGGGCCAGCCGGGTCGCCGTGCGTATAGCCGTGCGCAGCCCGTCAAGGGTTCCCCGCCGTTGTTTGAGCTGCACCCACGGAGTGTTTGCGGCTCTCACGTGCATCGCGGCCAGCCGGCCACACAGCCCGGGCGCCCTGGCGCGGCCCCGGCGCGGCCCTGGGCCTGGAGGAGGCGAAGGAGGACGTCTTCCTGTCCGCGCGGATCGGCCGGACCCGGCAAAAAGCGCGCTCAGGCCGCGGGGGCACCAGGACCACCGCCGCGAGTGTCTCGGCCGCCGCCGCGGTGCCAGACTGCCAGACAGAGACAGGGTGTGCGTGTTTTTTTCCCTCTTCGCCACGGGTCAAGGGGAAAGGAGGGGGGGGGGGACGCGGTCGCGGGGCCGTCGGATGGATCCCAGGAATGTGGGACGCTTTTCGTGGAAGCCCCGGCCATTTCCATACAGTCTCTCTCTCTGTCGCTCTCGCGCGCTCTCTCGTTATGACCGCCTTTACGGTGCCACTAAATTTGGCTCTGCTAGGCGAGACGCGACGAGGCGAGAAAGAGGAAAACCGTGTGCTTGCTTATGTCACACACGCACGGACGGACTCGGGGACTCGGCGCGAGGAGTCAACGACTGGAGAAGTAGTGTCACCCACACCCTGGATAAACAGGCGCGCCGCCGCGCGCCGCGCAGACCATCTTTTTAGTTTTTACCTTTCCCAGCCCAACCACCACACCTTCACACACACACACACACACACACACACACACACACACACACACACACACACACACACACACACGCACACACACAGACGCGCACCGCGCTGCAATTGGCGTATCGCCAGCCGGCCGATACTTTGTGCTTGTTGCCGCTCGTAAAGGCACCGTGACACAGGCTTAGCCTCACACGCAAACGGGCACAAATCGGAGCGGTAAAAAATGAAGACGGCGGGCGAAACATAAAATTATAAAAAAGAGAAATGAAAGATGTCCCCGGCCGCGCCTTGCCGCGCCTTTGGCTCCTCGTTACGGCGGCCGCCGTGCTCCTTTTTCGTATCAATTTCCTGCGAGCCCGGCGGGGAGACAACGGGTTGGCCTCGGCCGGGGATCGAACCCGCGTGACTCGGGGTTAATTTGAACCCTGACCGAGGGCTGCAGTGGGCTGCAGCCGATTAAACGGCCTTTCCCTTCCGCCCGCGCGGCGAAGGGCGAAACGAGGGACGAAAATGAAACAGAAAAAAAAAGGAAAGACAAAAACACGGATCCAAATAATAAGTAGGTTGGCGACGCGATGCGCCGGACCCTGTAATGCCGCCTCGCCGGCCAAACCAATTATTATTTTCCCGTAAAAGTGTAAAACCGAAATCACTGTTGGTGATAGAAGGACGCGGCGGCGAGGCTGATGGGACAATTTCGCAAGGGGCAAAACGGCCGGCCACAAATTGGCTTTGCTTTTCCTGGCGCTGGGCGGCCGAGGCGCCGAGGCTTGGCCGGCCGTTGCTCGAGTTCGGCGTGCTTTGCGCTTTGCGCTTTGCGCTCAGCCTTTGCGCAAGCTGCACTTTAATTTCGCCTGGATTTGGATCACGCGGTGCCGAGGCGGGCCTTGGGCGAGGCTAGCTGCGAGGCTAGCTGCGAGGCTAGCTGCGAGGCTAGCTGCGAGGCTATGCGGCTCCGGGGTGGCCGGCCGTTCCATTCCGCGGGACACTCCGTCTCCGACGAACGAAGGCGACTTCGTTTCGCGTAAAAAACAGACGACAGTTATAAAAACAAATGCAAAACCAACAACGCCGCGGAATGGCGCTGCTTTTTCCGCGCTGATGGGCCACAGGAATGGGACCATTTTGCAGCCTTTGCTTACCTTTCGCTTTTTGTTCCAGGTGGAGGAGACGTTCCAGAAGGACTACGAGGACCACCACCGCAGCTGGCAGATCCACCACTACGACTGGCTGCCCAACATCCCCAAGCAGCTGGGCGAGAAGGTCCAGGAGGAGCACCTGCGCGCACAATCGGTAAGCGAGAAAGGAAAAAGATGCAGGGCGGAGCGAAACAAAACCCAAAAGTAATCGTGAAGTCTGTTAAAATCTTGGATCTGTCCTAACGGGTGCTTTCTTTGTCTCCGCAGTTGGAAGTGGCGCTCAAGGACATCTACAAGTACCTGCAGCAGTACGCCGTCGGCCTGGAGCAGGTCGTCATCGACCAAAAAGCCAGCGGCAGCTCCTACAAGGACAAGTTCGACTACGACGAGAGCCTGCTGAGAAACGTAAGCGCCAATTCCATTGATCTTATGCAAATCGATCTCGCAGGCAGAAGGGGATGGCTGCCCAGTGTTTGAACCCAGGACTAACGTAGCTGTCTTTTTGCTCCCCAGGTTCTGTGCGAAGTGCAGGTAGCCATGCAGGAGCAGGGCGTGGTCCAGCACCCCGACGTCTCACCCGACATCATGGGCCCCGCGTTCCGCGACCCCACCATGAACTCCACGTTCAGGAACGTCCGGGACTGGATCATCCTCAGGGACTACATGAACGGCCTGGAGTACATTATCCAGACGCTCGAGTACTTCAGCAAGCCCCAGCACTAGGCCGCTCGCACCCACCCAAAGTCTCCGTCCTGCCTGAGCCGTTTCGGACCCACAAATCATGCCGCAGTGGTGTGGCGGCGATTCGAAGGTCGCGCGTTCGAATCCTATCAGAAACCTTTTATTGTTGTTGTTGTTGTCATTTGCGCTGGTGCACTTTGTAGTTTCCTTCACGAAACGGATCTCTCACTATCCCAGCGCCTTAATTTATCAACTTAATTTATTTTATTTATGTGTCGCGGCGCTTTTTTTATACCAACTGACTATTTCAGCAAAATTACTGTTTTGAATGTGCTATGCGAAGTGACTAAGATTTTCGTTTAATTTGTTGTTGAAATTAAATGTTGAAAATTGTTGATGTGTGTTTTGGCACGCGAACAACTTAACACTGTGAGACTGCCTTTCTTCTTGTCCAAATGCTTCCTAGCCACTTAGTGTTATGTTAGTCTTTTTTATGTTTTGAACTTGTTTTTTTTTTTACCACCTTGGCCATTGTACAAGTATTTGATAGTTGTGTCACAAGTGTATGTCAAATTATTCGTCTGACAAGGCCCAGTGCCGCGCTGACCTGCACTTTGCACGTAGAAGCAATGCATCGAACAAATAATCTGTTGTCTCAGATTGGGCTAAAATTTTAATGGTAGTCGTTTTGAATTGTTAATTAACGAATTTACCTGAAGTTAATGTAATTGACATGTCTTGTTGAAAGAGAAAACTGTATTTGCCTAATTTATACAAATTTGATCACTGTTTTATGTCAAAACATGAGTTACAATGCTTAAAAATTAATTTATTTAAAGCACATTTTTGTGTTGATTCTTATTTTCTATTTATATTATTATTACTAATCTGTCTGTGATATTTATGTAGCTGTTCCTTTGTATACTAACGACGTTACTCAGTAATGGAGGTGTATTATCAATGAGGCAAGTTACAGACAAAACCCGTGTTTATGTGATATGCCACCATATGATCATCCTAAATTACTACTTCCTAAAATATTGTATTATTGTCACTGTTAAAAACTCATTCTTTGGTTGCTGTCGTCATTTGTTCATTAAATCCTATTTAAACATTCGATGTTGAGAATAAATATTGTTACAAATATGCACAAACTTTTGACGTTTCCTTCTTTTGAGACCGGCCCTGATCGAGACATGAATCGCAAGAGAAACAAAACGGATAAAAACACTGACCTAACCTAACCTCACCGCGCTCAGCGCGATTACGCCTTCTGAAAGTCGGCGCAGCTCTTGGCGCTCTCGACTCGCAAGCGCGCCAGCAGTGAGGCATTGCAGGGAACACAACACGGGGCGTCGCTGACGACAGAGACACGATTCGATAATCGACGTTCCGGCCGGAGCGTGTCCTCAAACAAGTGTCGCCCATTTACATACACGGCCGGCGGCCCGGCTAGTCTGCCCGGAAACCGGAGGCTTCTAATTAGTGCGGCCACCTGTCAACAAGGAAAGGGCTGTCCCTTGGCCTGTCCCTTGGCCTGTTTGTTCCGTGAACACAGCCGGCGTGTGGGAAGGGCCCCAAAGGGCCGTGGAGTGTGTTCGCGATTCGCGTACGAAGCGGCCTGATTCCGGGCAGTGCTTTCGTCGCTCTGTCTCTCTCGCACCCACAGGGGCACCCCCGTGAGTGCGACAGAGACAGAGCGACGAGTGATCAGTCTGCTGGCGTGGCCCGGTGGCCGCGCGTCGCGGTGACTTGAATGCTGGAGCGGGTCGCGCCACCAGTGGCGCGCTGGCAGCCCAGCCTCCTCGTCGGCTTGCTCCTCGGCCTGCTCGGCCGCCTCCACCGCGGCGCGCACCAGAGAGGACGGCGCGCACCCCCAACAGCAGCACGGCGTGGGCGGGACGCGGCGTGACGCGCAGATAAGCCCCGCAGTGCTGTCACCACTACGACGGCTCGGCCAGGCTCGGCCAGGCTCGGCCCTGCCGTGCTGCGCGGAACGGCGTGGCCACGGCCTTTTGTTGACTCCGTACGCTTGCTTATTCCGAGTCTTGTTCGTCGCTGTCTCTCTCGCGCCTATACGGGACGCGCCATGAGTGCGAGAGAGATGACTCGGAATCAGTCTGCCGGCCGCCGCCAGAGACACTGCAGAGACAGCCACAGCGCGTTGATCGGATCAGGGACGATTTAGCGAGCGGCGGCAGCAGTTTGGCAGCAAGCGACTTTCCCCCGTCTTCTTCAAACAAACACAGTGGCTTGACGGCCGCGTGACGAGGAGCCGCGGGGAAATACTTGTTATTTGTCGTGTTGCCGCGCGACGCACAGCACCGCAAGGTGCGCACAAAGGCATCAAAAAACAAAACGAGGAAATCCCTGACCGCTGTTGTCATGCTGAATTCCATTGCAAAAACAGACATTTTTGAAAGTTTATATTTGGTAATTTGCCACTACTGCATTGCCACGACTAAAAAGGTGATCTCAATCTGAAGAAAAATGCGTCCCAAAAACTTTCAATAAAGTCAACGCATTCAAAAACGAAATGACTCAGCGATGGAATGCACGTGTGTGACAGTGGGACGCCACCCCACCGTCTGTCTGGCCGTCCGTCTGCCTCTGTCTGTCTGTCTGTCTGTCTGTCTGTCTGTCTGTCTGTCTGTCTGTCTGTCTGTCTGTCTGTCTGTCTGTCTGTCTGTCTGTCTGTCCGCCCGTCTGTCCGTCCGCTCGCCCTGCATTAAAAGCATTAAGCGTGTTCAGTTGTTTAGCGCAGAGGATTACGGCTGCAGCTAATTGCGTAGCATTGTCGCGCGGGGCTGCTGCTGCGTGCTGCTGCGTGCTGCTGCGTGCTGATTCCGAACAGGGCTTTCGTCGCTCTGTCTCTCTCGCACTCATGGGGTGCCCCGAGGGAGTGCAAGAGAGACAGAGGGCTGTTCGTCCCGCAGCGGGCCGTGCCTCGCCGTGCCTAGAGCCCCGCCACCGAGGACGCGACGTGGACGCGACCAGCATGACCAGGACCTCCAAGACCACGGGACCCTCGCTGCATCGCGCCTGCACTGCATCCGCATACACTCTCGCTGACCCATAGTGGGCCAGGTGATCGGAGGAGGCGGTCAAAATCCCGGACGCGTTTTGAGCTCCAGAGTCGCTAAATGGGACTCGAACCGAAAGTCTGACCCCACCAATGGATTGCTCTCCGAGCGAGGAATCCATTGGTGGGGTCATACGTGCGGCTCGAGTCCCATTTAGCGGAGCTCAAAACACGGGCAGAGTTTCGGCCGCCGGCGCCAGTCCGGCCCACGGGCCCACTGAGCGGCAGCGAGGTCGCCGACGACAAGGGTGGCCCGCGCACCCAGAGTCCACGCGCGCCGTGCGCCCAGCGCGTGCAGCCCGCTCACAGTGTACTAGGGCTCCAGAAAACAGCGCCGTCACGCCGTTTTTGCGGTCAACTCATTCCGCGTTTTCTGATTACCTTCGAGGAGCAGCTGACGTACAAGCCGACGCGCTGACGCGCTGACGCGCTGACCCGGCCGGCCCGACGGACCCTTGGAGTCGGCCAGCACGGCCAGCACTGCCAGGCAAGTGCGCGTCGCACTTTCACCCGCGCGGCTCGATGCCGAAACAGTGCTCTCCTCGCTCTGTCCCTCTCGCACCCGTGGCGCGTGAGCATTGCGAGAGAGACGGAGCGCGACGAGGACACTGTCCGGAATGAGCCTGCTGGGCTAGGCCAGCTGGGCCTGCCGGGCAGGCCTGGGCATTCCTGGGCAGGGGGTGGTAGTGTATCAGGACGCATGACTTATTGTTTGCCCGGCCTAAGCCATGCGGACTGCTGACACGGATTAAAAAAGCAGCATGGCTCCCCACCTACGCAGCCCAGGCGGGCCACGCAGGCCGCGCAGGCAGGCCGTCGCACTGCTTCGACTTGCTGCGGAACGCGCAAGCCTCTGCCAACACTGCCAACGCGCAGCGCCGAGTATTTCCAAAACACGTCACGGCACAAGGGATGCATTAGCAGATGTTTATGCAACATGTCGTCCTGCAGCGGGCCAGCCATACGGGCCGGCCGCGGCGCGGAGGCCAAAACGGAGGGGAAAAAAAACTGCTTATAGATCGAGGATGAGGCTGATGCGATTCGTAAATGTTCGCAATCGAAATCGAAAAGAGTTACGTGCAAAGTGCAAAGGGTGAATCGATAGTTTGGTCACAGGAAAGATGTGTAGCATGGCGTGGCGCGGCACTCGCGGTCACAAATAGGCAAACGGCGCGTACGGGCGCGTACTTTGTCAGTGAGGCTTTTGAAGCGCTTTGAAGGCATCGCGCGGCAAGTCCGCCGTCTCCCACCCCTTTCCTCTTCGTCCGTATCAAGTGCGGTCGAGGAGGAGCGACACTTGTCGTGGCACACGAGCAGACAATAAAAAATTGTTGTGTGACAGTGCGGTGGCTGACGAAGGGTGACGCACGGTAGCCTGACACGTCAGCGACGCCGCGCGCGCCGAATTTCTCATCGCGTCTCGTCAAACCGAGGGAGGTGTCGATGTTCCGGGAACGTGGCCGCTTCCTGCCGCCGTGGGAAGGCGCGGCCTCGAGCGCGGCGGTCAAAGTGGGTGGCGAGGTCGGTGCCGGCCTCGGTGCCGGCCTCGGTGCCGGCCTCGTTGGCGGTCTATCGGCGCGGTGTCCTCGGTGGCGGCCTCGGAGGGCAGCTTTTGGCGCGAATCCGACGTCCACTCCAAGTCTCCGGCTGCTGATTACCTCTGAAGACGCCGCGCCGCATCAGCCTACGGCGCAGCCCCGCTGGCGCTGCGGCGACGTCGGACACTTTTGAATCGGCGGGGGCCCGTCCCGGCCCGGGGCCGACGCGCCACGCCCTGCCCCTCAAGAAGTGCGACAGAGAGCCTTTCCGCGCGCGCTGCCGCCGCCCTGGCCGCCCTGCACCTGGAAGCTGGCCACCAGGACCGAGCCCAAGGACCACCTGCCCCCGGCGCTCCCGCCCACCCCCTCCGGGCCCTCGCGGGGGGTCGCCGCCGAGGGCATGACTCTCGAAGCGCTTTCGTCGCTCTGTCTCTCACGCACTCTTGAGGCCGCCACGCGGGTGCGAGGGAGACAGAGAGACGCAGCACCGTTCGGAATCATCCTGCAGGGCAGCTGCCGCCAACCGCGCGTGCGTGTCTCCGTGTGTCCGCCGGAGTGGAGGAATCCAAGTGCCCCCCCCCCCGCCCCTCAAAAAAAGGGGTGTGTAGTGTCAATCTTATGATCGAACTGGTTGGCCCGTCAAGGAGAGTAACTACTACTACCGGATCACCAACGGGGGCGGGGCGGAGGCAGACTTTTCTTGGACGTTTTGATCGGATGCATTTAGAAACGCAGCATCTTGGAGACAACAAAATAAAGAAATGAAGCACGTCGTCGAAGAGGAAAGTGCAACCAGAAGCAGACACGCAAGGAAAGTTGTGGATCGACACAACGACACCTTGCTCATTTCGCATGCCGGTGGTGCGAGCGGAGCGAGGCGGGGGCAATTGAGCGGTAGATCGCGGCAGATCGCACCAGCAGGGGGGGGGGGGGGGGGGTCCAACCTATCGTGGGGGGGCCTTCTGTGCCGCGCCGTAGACCCCCAGCGAGCACTCCGACGCTCGCACACTAGCACACACACACACACACACACACACACACACACACACACACACACACACACACACACACACACACACACAGACGCGCACAATAATACAATAACGCCAAATTTCCTCCGGGTCGGCCATTAATTTTGTGCCGTGTTTGGTATTGCACAAGGAGGCGGTTCCCTGTGTGTGTGCCGACACAGACACAGCTGCAAGCGCTGCAAACAGGGGCCAGGAGGCAGCAGGGTCCGCAGGGCCGCAGGGCCGCAGGGCCCCGTCCGAGCTGCCATTGGCGCCGAAGGTGGTGGTGGTCGCTATAAAGGAGCTCGCTATGAATAGCGATCAGCACACACACACACAGACACACAGAGAGATGCATCTTGGAAGCATCATTGGCGCGGGTCGTGCCCTGCCAGTGTCCTGGCAGTGTCCTGGCAGTGTCCTGCCGCGCGCAGCATGCTCCCTGCAGGGCCTGCAGCCGACCAAACGCCGCCAAAGGAGCATTCAGACACTATTCACCACGCGATGATCGCGATTGCAGCCTC